AAATATGGAAAGATATTTACACTTTTTACCAAATGAACTTGAAGACATGTTGAATAGTTTTCCGTTAGCATCGTATCGAAAATTGGCATATTTTCCACATAATAGTGCACCTTCACACAACTCACGACTTGAATGTGAAGATGCCATGCCTGGACGTAAACGGAAGTCAATTTGAACATTTAATTTAAACGATTCATTATTGTTTTGTGCTTTGTGTTATAATATAGTTCTTCTTTCMATAGCCTACTACACATTTTTTATCTTCTTTTGAAGTTTTGAACAATTATATGGTTAAATTCAGAAAAAAATAAGGATTTTAAAAGGCTATGATTACCATTTAAAAAACCATACGTTTATTTTTATCTCGTAAATCAAGTTGACTGTGATAACGAATGCTAGTTTATTGGATTCAACGCAAAAAGTTGTACTAAGGGCAGTTTTAACTTAAGTTAAGCAGTTTACGTAATAAGTGATAATTAAAAAGGTGTTCATTTCATATCATTTCAGGATATTTCAGGAACCAAGTCGGGTACCTAAATTTTGAAAACGGTAATCAATAGGCAATCGAATTCTGCCCAACTTTGCCCATTTAACGGATTCGCTATCTTTAAAAATGTAGAAGTTACTCACACAAAGGTTCAGAAAATGGCCACCCTGTATATACATATCTGACAGTTTTAATTTCTGATCTAGATTCAGCCTATCAAAATTACTAAAGTTCCTAAAATTTACGTTTTGAACTTCAACCGTTTAGAAATAATTTGCAAGAAATCCTACTACTGGGCCTCTCTTCAAGAAGGCGTAGCTCCGTTAGGGAGCATTTTTCGATACACGTTCGTTTGAAAAGTTAATATTATTTTTTAGACCGGATTTCACTGCTTCAGTTTGGCCACCTAATTTCCGGACACCCTGTATTCAGGTAAGTGAGACTTTGATAGTTCTCGCAGATCATTTTATCTTCTATTTTATGGATCGGTATTGTAACACTTTTTTTATTCTTTTGGGACACATTGATCTTCTGTTATATTTGGAAGATTTTCTCTAAGGGCGCCAGAAACTGGGCTGCGCGATTTTTACGCATTTCCTTGTTTATCCCTCTTGGGACTGGGTTTTAAGTTTTTGGTGCAAAATTTCATTTTTTCGTGAGTTATTTATGTGACCTTTTGGTCTTGTTTGATTTGCAATTTTGTATCTGCCCAATCTTGTGGCTCCAGATTTTCTATTTTTGAACAAGTTTCCTTCTTTCTTTTCATTTTGATTTAATTTTCACACCTCTGTCTGCGCTTCGTATACTTAAGTCATGCTTTATGTCTTCAGAAAATTGCTAATAATGCGGGAATCAAGTTTGACAATAAGCAACGAAATGAGCTAGTATTCCATACTTCAGTTGTTAATTCCACCGATTTCAATAGTTTTCTATTTGCTCTTTTTATTTTTGGTCGCTCGTTCTTTAGGAACTAAGAATCAAGCAAACTTCTGTTGTTTGTCCACCCCGTTTTTACATCCTATATGGAATTTAGCGAAAAATTTTAAATTTGAAAGTTCTACATATTGACGTCTAGTTTATTTTAGGATAATATCAATTGATACAGTTTGTCTGCAATTGAAGTAGCAATTTTTTTCTCTAAATTTCAAATTAGATGTAAAAACTGTTCGGTCCAAGTTCAATCAACATCCCTGCACCAATTCATTTGCACGATCGTTCTGAACAAGCAGAACGAATGATTATTAAAAAACTTTCTTTGGTACTACTGGCTCTTATGGTCAAGTAGCGAGAACAGAAAAACGCATTTTCACATGGGCCAACGTTTCGGCTATACTTTGAGTATAGTTTAAAGTGTAAAATGTTTTCGTTTTTTAATACAAAATGAAAGAGAAACAAAGCCTAATAATATTATTGGATTTGGAGGCAACCCCTTTACCCTTTTCTGGGCAAAAATATGTTGAGCCCTGAAAATTACTGAAATAAACCAGGAGCTTTGAGCTAATAGTGTTTTTTTATTGCGTAGCTTTTTGAGGAAAAACTGGGTTTTCCTGAATGCCAAAGAACATTTTTCGACCAAGTAAATTAGAAGAGCACGTAATTTTACATTCTACAAAACCAGCATAAAATATTCATTTAAACTCTTTCTGTAGGCAACCAAGCTAGCAAGCTGATTGAAAGTGGAATTCTTTGCTCGATGAAACCGCAAACACAATAGTTTTTTACAAATTAGCCTTCATCGCGGTCTTAGCTTCTTTTTCTTGTACTGGCGTAGAGATGACACTACTCGCTACTTTGCATTTCCTTGAAAGTGCTTTATAGTCCAGTTATATTAGCAAAATAAAGTAACAATCTCCAAATTCAAGATAATAAGCTGTAAACTAGTCTCAGAACTTACCTATGATAGTGTGGACGCGACTGTAGATAACTAGGGTCAGCAGTCAAAAATCTACTTTTCGTGCATTTCTGCGATTATCTCGTTTCCTGTAAGTTTTACGGTATTTAAAATTTTTTATACCTTAGTTTATACCT